TGTAAATACATTTATTTACCTTCCCTTGAGTGCATTACTTTGCATGATACAGAGAGAGCATATTAGGTTAAAAAAAAAATAAGAGTGGGGTTTACCTCTGCCCAATTCTATATCTTCAAAAGAAAACTCAGGATAAATCCGCATGTAGCTGACATAATTAGACTATATTTGGTTAAATAGGTACGTATTTACCTACTGTCTTAGTTGGTGGTAAGTTTAAATGCAAACCTTTTCAAAGTGGGAAAAAAGTCCTAATTCCACATTCATCAGAGCCAGTGATGCTTTAAACATTGATAAAAAGCATCTAGTGCGTGTAGTGCTTATAAGATTTGTATTTTTGTAGCAAGAAATGCTGTTCTCTTAAAAAAAAGAATGTGCCCTGATGCTGACATTAAGCATAAAAAAAGAGCATCAATATTTTTGCAAAGGACCAATGAAACTGAAGACCAATAGTGTCCCTACCAAAGTTGAAATCAAACCTACGACCTTGAATTAGGGTCTAACCTTAAGAATAATGAAAATCACAACCATTTCTAATCATTTGGTCATGACCTATTTTTGCTTTTGACAGTAGTTCTAGAGTGTAAATCTTAGTTTCTGAACCCTGTTTTGTTCCAGCCTTTCTAAGCCTTGCTCAGCTCCTATTTCAACAAACAGAAAAAATAGATTAAATCCTAAAATGTTTTAGGTATTGCTTGTTCTACCTTTATGCAAATTATAGCAAAAGCTCAGCTATTCAATTATGAAAGTTTAAAAAAGATCTTCTGATCTCTGTCCGGCTGTAGTGTGGACTTGCATGGCAGGTAGGGGCGCTTTCCTGTCCAATAAGTCGGGATAGATCGAATAAACATCTCTGCGTTACAGTAACAGTTTAACTCCACTGACAGTTTGCCTTTAGCGAAATACCAGTGCAGCACAAAGAGCTTGTCTTTTTCTTATATTTGGCTAAATTTCAGACTCAACATTAAAAATGCATTTGATTGCATGGATCATAATTATTCACTCTCCAATATCTGGGCTCCTGTAGATGACTCACCTTTTCTGATGTTTTTTCTCATCTTAGATAACAGCTGAGATATTCAACAGATTCAGGATTTGAAGCTGAAAATGACACAATAGGCAGGGATGTAACCCAAAACTTATTTTGAATCCAACTCATCTCGCTTCCTCAAATGGGACCCAATAATCAAACAGGATAATCTGAAGCACATCAGCAGTTTAACCTCTGAATGGCTCAAATAAAACCAATATGAAGATTTTAGGTCTGGCTTAGTTAAATCCTTAACTTTAATCTGATAGGTGATAGAAAACACTGATGGGTCATTGCTGCTTATTTATCAGATCAATTTTGCATAATTTCTATTCCATTTGTCTCATGTTTGACCAAAAACAGCAGAAATTTGTAAGTAAATGTTTTTAGAATAACTTCCATTTTTATAACTACTTTAGATTTATTCACCACCTTGTTGCCATACATAACCAGACATCTACAGGGAGAACAAACTACTATTATCCTGAAAAATTTGAACGTTCAGAGCTAACAGCTTCTGCTTTTAACAGGACTGCCCAAAGGAGATGGAAATATTCTTCAATAATAAAGCAGCTGTGGTGCTTGGCCTCTTCGTTGGAACCGCAGCTTTTTTGGTAGGCAAATGCAGCACATTTGTTTGCAGATGGAAATAACATTGCACCTTTAAAAAAAAAAAAAAAAAAAAAAAAAAAAAAAAAAAAAAAAATGAATGGCTAACTGTTTATGTTAAATATATCAAAGGTGTTATTTCCTCCCCCAAAATGGTTCAATTTGCTTTTGTGAGTACATAAATGTTCTTTCCTGATCTCAATTAACCATTTTCCCCATTTTTCCTTCCCAAAGATCGGAGAAATGATTTGCAGCGGATGGTTCAGTTCAAAGGTTCGTCAGGATTCTTAAGCTCCTCAAATTATTCAGACTTTCTGCATGTTGACCTTGGATCCTCCTCAGCCATTATAGCAAAGCGTCTAATCCAGACCAGAAAGTCTCCATGCCACTTTCTGCAGCCCTGTCATCTTAGTTTGTCCTTATTCCACATCCATGACAAATTTGCATCTCCAAGCAGAAGTCCAGATGCTGCCTGCTGCAGTCATGGCCAAAGTGTTGACAATTACTTGAGTGATGTTTGGCACTTTGCATGTTTAGCATCACAACACCTGAAATAACAGTTTTCTGGAGGTTGAACAGAAGGCGGCTTCAGGATGTCCAGATGTTTCCAACAGTTAAACAAAAACCAGCTAAAGGATGGCGGCGCCACCGTTGCAGAGCTTGCCCTGAATGTTACAGGGAGGTGGCAGCTTGTGTAAAGGGTTAATTTCTTCCGGGCACAGTCTGTTGGTGATCTTCACACAGCTTTTAAAACACTTTTTTTCCAAACTCACTTTTAGCTCTCTAACCTCTAGGTGTACATTTAGAACAAAGTTTGTAAAAAATGTTTAACAGATGGGTTTACTTCTTTTGAATAATAATAAAAAAAAAAAAAAAGTGGTTCCAGGATAATTAAATATATGCAGAAAATTCAGAATTTTTATGAATTATGCTGTATGCTTTATACAGTCCATGTGTATATAAAAACAGATGTAAATAAGGGAAGAAAGATCAGAAACATCAGTAGAAAGTGTGGGAGTTTAAGGATACAAATGATGTAGGATACTAGAAAAGGTAAAATGAGGAAATCAAGGATGATACTAGAAAAAGGTAGGACATCAAGGACGGGGGTTTGAAGAGGAAAAGGTTAAGTTGAGAGCTGGGCATTTAATTTAAAATATATTAAAGTTTAAGAAAAATAACAATAGCTCTCTACTGTTAAGTGCAGTGTAATTTGTCCAACTCCTAATTGTGATGATACCAAAATAAAGTCTTTCTAAAATAGACACTGGTCAGAAAAGCTTTAAAGGTCATGAAGACGAAACCATGGAGTGAAGCTTTTACATGCAAGTTAGTCTATCCCAGTAACTGTAGAACATGGATCTAAATATGCATTTTACTGGAAATAATCTTAGCCATTGTTTGGAGGCGAAGCAAAGTCAAGGATTAAGCATAAGAAGAGTAGATTATTAATTTTAAAGATGTGTAATAAACAGGATTAAAGTTTTTAACCTTAATAGATCAACCAACAATGTTTTTATTTCAACCTTTAACTTCCTGACAACCTTTCCAGGTATTTGCATCTTTTATGAGGCTTTTCTTTCATGTTGCTCAAAATTGTTTTACTTTATAATAAAACTGAAGGATGTTTGTCACAGCAGGGATCAAACTGAGGAAGCGTTTTTACTTTAAACTAAATAAGTGTGTTATTTCATTAAAACAGTACTTGATTTTTGTTTGTAAGGGTGAGAGGATTATCCAGGAAGGTTGATTTATTCATTTATTTATTTTTCCAGCAGTTCAGTCAAACTGGTTGCTCAAACCATTTAATTGGTTTTGAGGTTGTGTATATAAAATGTGTTGTCCAAACCAAAGGCAGGATGTGCTCAGCTGTTCAAGGTAATTTAGAAAATTAAATGACCTTATGTAATCAGATTTTTTCTGGAAAAAAATAAAGACATCTCAGTCTGGATTAAAATAAACCTCAAAAACAAGTTGCAGATTTGCAGGAGTCTTTATTTCATGGATTTACATCAGTGTTTGGACCTGTGAAGATAAAAGTCATGCTACATTAGTCTTCCAAACAAACACATGGTTAAAAAAACAAAACAAAAACTCAACTATAAAAATCTATTAAAGCACTAATTAGCGTTGATCAGAAAGGGTGATTTCATTAAAACTGCATAAAACCGTATAGTCTGATAAATGGCTCTCAGGATGCTGAAATAATGTTTAAAACTAATTTCAAATCAAAAAAGATCAGAAAACATCCTTACTTTTAGGATACAAGGTAAAATTTACTAGTGTTGGATGAAATGAATAAATTAAATCGCTATTTAAGCTGAATTCAGATTAACATCTATAAAGAGACTTTACAGAAATTAAAGGAAATATAATAGACTGAAAACTTCCTGAAACTAAGAACTGAGCCACTCTACCATGGCCCACAAACAATTTGCCAAACTTAAAAGATTTGAGGGGCAGCCTGTCCATTAAATTTCCCCAAATAAACTAGAAAAAAAATAGAAATTGTACACAAAATAAGCTCTTTAACCATCTCAAATCTTCCCCTTAAGATTGAAAAAAAAAAAAAACCCAAAAAAACATTTAAACCCCTTCCTAACTATTTGACGCATCTCTACAAAGGTCCATGTCAAGGTGTCCAATAGAGACGCCCACATATACATTAAGAACACGAGCAATCAGACTAAAAATGCATCATGAAAACATGCGAGTTAGAATATCTACAATCTGATCCGTCCGTCTGTAGAAACTAGTTAGGATCAAGTTATTCTGAATGAGGCAAGCTGAACTGTTTATGCTTTTGCACCAAAAGTCAACGTGACATTTCTGCTTCTAGTTGATAGAATATTGCAGCTGGTACGTTTAGATTAAACATTTTTGTCCAGTCTGCCATTTTACTGTATTTCATTACTACAGTTATTATAGCACTTTTTAAAAAAAATGGAACAAAATTAAATGCAGTTATTTAACACCAACTGCATTTAATTTATTTCACCTTCAAGCATTATATCCAAAAGTAGATTTAATGAAAGCAAGTTAAGATTTTATTTAGACACATTTTAATTTTAAATGCCTGTCGCTTTGCTGCTTTTCAACCATGATTTCCCCATTGTGGGACAGTAAACGGATTTTCTATTCTATTCTTATATTACAGCAGAATGTCAATCATCTGAAAATGGATCAGCCTGCAGGTACAAACAGGATTCTTCTATTGTTCTTGTTAAAGCAAATGTTTTCTACCTGTGGTTTTCTAAAAAAAACATGATTAAAAGGATTTTAAGATTTAATTTATATCTCAGATCTCACCTTTGTTGCAGCTCACACCACATTGACCATAAACAGTTGAGCAAAGTTCTATATGGCACAAGAAGTAGACCTGAAATGAATAAAAATAAGTTTTACAGCATCATAGTTGTATTTGTGTTTTACAAAGATATAAACCTTCAAGTTTATAAAAAAAATAATTTCCACCAGTAAAAAAAAACAAAAAGGTCACTGTGCAACATCTGTAGGAGGTGATTTCCCTGATCTGGTCATGATCTGCAGACCTTCCATGTTTAGTTCAACTTTCTGGGTTTGGGACTTGTTATAGTGGGAAAACAGCTGCAATTCCCATCATCAGCATTGGCTTATAACCCAGCATCTAAAGCAGCTACAGGGAAAGAAACCTAAAAATGCTGATCAGCAGGTTCATGGATGAGGAGAACCCAACCAGCAGCTTCTCTGCATTTAACAGCCACAGTCGCTCCTCCCTGCCCCAATTAAACACGAACTTCAACTTTCCAGTCAGTTTCTTAACAGTTTTAAGGTGAACGAGGCCCAAAGAAGACAGTCAGTTTGTACCTCTGGATCCTCTGGTGCAGCTGGCCCTCCATGACCCATGTGGGTGGAGCTTGCTGGAGGCAGAGCAGGGAAGCTGGAAACCTTCAGCCTCCAGATGTGCTGAGGGTTTGGAGATTGAAGTTGCTGCCAAACAGTCTGGCTGCTACAACTGAACACAAAACACTTATTAATATTAAGAGCAAAGTCCTAAATATGGGAAATACTACACTCCATTACAGTAGTAACAATAACTAAGGCAAACGGCTTCAGGGCCTCTGGAAGTACTTTGAACAGGGGGTGCTATGAAAATTTGTTTTTATGGACCTATGAGCCTATAGGCCTATTTAAAACACTAAAAATAAACAGATTGAGATTCACTACTTTATTGTCTTATGCACTTCAGTGCAACTGGGGTCTGTAACACACAGAAATCATCATGTAATATGTAATACGATGACATGCTCATTGTCAAGCATTTCTTTGTTACTGCTAAAAAAAGACCTATTATTTTTGAGAGGAAAAAGGGCCGAGTCATGTTTGAACTGATGCAGCTTGGGGTGGGTTTTACTCACACCAATTATAATTTCAAAAACTAGAGAATATTAGCTTTGAAATGATGCATCACATGTAATTTGGGCTTACAGTTCCTTAGTCATTTGCTTTTCCATTCAGGTATGCAAAAAGGGAAGGGATACTTAAAATTAGATAACATTTTTCTCTCCCTCTCGCCACTGTAGGATGCTGCAATAGTTTTTTTTTTCCACCTTACTTTTATAGTTATTATGATTTCATCCATTACTAACACCTGACCAAATTTAAGTGATAGCAGGAATGGGAGGAGGAGCCAATTAGTCTGGGACGTGCTTTGAAATGGGTTCAAAATATTCAGCATTTTTTGATAAAGTAAAAAAAAATCCATTTATTAATCCGATAAAGCCAAACAATTCCAGGGAAAGCCCCAAGTCCAGTTCTTCTTGACCAAAGCAGAAAAATATTCTTTGATTTTTCACTCTATTGAAACCTGACATCTTCATTTTTTTATTTTACTTTATAGTACAAAAAATATTTTAAAATTTATAAATGTCACTGATTCACATTAGTTCATTTTTTTCAGATAAAAAAAACTGTTTAAAAAAAGGAATTAAAGCTAAACTTTTTGACTCCTGGTAATGAAATATTTAGGAAAGCTCAGTCAGACTGCAAACAATCAAAGAGACCACATACAAGAGGAAGTTGACAGCATCTACAGAACCAACCTATCATAGAAAAGTATCCAGTTGACCTCTGGAGTTAAAGTGTAGGCCAGGCAGGAGCGGACCAGCAGAACCAGGGTGGGATCTGTGGGTCTCAGCACTCTCAGTTCCACATGAACTGGTTTACCCTGCGTGAAGCTGAGGGGGAGGTGAGGCCGGGGGAAGAACCTGTCGAAGGACGCATCTAGAAGATAAAAAGGTCAAAGTGAAGATGGTAGAAAGGGGGATGGTTGACCATTAGATTACGATGAAGCACAGAGAGATTCACAAAAGCAAAGATGTAATAAAAAGAACAGATTGAAATAAAGGAAAGAAAAAAAAAAACACCTGTTGCAATTCTCAGGATCACAGCAACAGCAGCTGGTGTATCTGAAGGAGGGGTGCATCCCACCATCAACCTGCAGGCAGATAGAAAACAACTGATCTGATTGGTGCTCCAGCTCACTGTGGCGTTTAACATCTCACTGGTATTTTATGAGATCTAACTAATTAGGGTATGACTGTAAAGCAACAATAAAAAAACAGCAAACAAGTATTTTAATCAGAGAAGCAGCAGCCAAGAGGTCCTTTGTTACTTTGGAGGAGCTGCAGAAGTTAGGCAACTTGGTAAAGACTCTTCACTTCTTTGAGGGCTCAAAGAAAACCAATGATAAAAAGGACATATGAAGTTTTTTTAGGCAGCCATGAAGGGTAAACATCTGTAAGATGGTGCAGCATGCAGTCTGCTCCTGGTGGTGGAAAACTAACCCTGCAA